GCAAGTCCACACTTTAAGCACTGATCAGGGCTGCTGCAATTACACCAGTGTCATGGTTCTGCATAGTATGAATGTCATGCACATGTCTAACTAGAACAAAAATTATGGGTCACAGAAGCACATGCATAAGTTTAAGAACTTCACTGGCCACTTGTATTTGCTGCTGACATAACCACTCTAACCACAGCAAGAATGGCTTCTGTGCAACTGATACAGCTGTTCCTTCCCATACCCACCTTTACATTATCTGTTGCCCTGTTTTATAACTAGGCCCTCCATTTCTCTCTATGGATGAGAAAGCCCCAAGGCAGAGTACATTGTACTTGTTGCATTACAAAAGCCAAGAGTTTCCAGTAAATCTTCCCAGCTCCTAATAGCCTTACCTATTGGTATCTGTCACTTAACACACAAAATATGAGAATCTGTTTCAGGCAGCTTCATGTTTTGTGCAATCTGATATGCTTAGTAAATGCACTAAAACGCAGATCACCATCATACCGCTTTCCACAGGAGCCCTTTGAGAACCTAATTCTATTTAATAATACTGCAGTACCTCTATAAGAAGACAGATCTGGAGCTATTTTGCTATTGCTGATCTAAAATCCTTGCCATGTATCCTTGCATACTGATGTCTAGGGTGATTACTTGTTTCAGTAACAAGAATAAATGTTATATTTCTTTGGCCCATTTCGCATGCACATCTTACTGCAGATTTTCAGAACTTTTGTTATTCAGTAACACAGTCAAGTCCAACTCTTTGCGACCCCATGGACCACATCACACCAGGCCCTCCTGGAGTATGCTTAATTCTGATTTGATCTCCCTGCAGTCCAAGGGACTCTCAAGTCTTCTCCAGCACCATAATTCGAAAGCATCTATTCTTCGGCGCTCAGCCTTCCTTATGGTCCAACTCTCACAGCCATATATTACTACTGGGAATACCATTGCTTTTACCATATGGACTTTTGATGGCAGGATGATGTCTCTACTTTTTATTATACTGTCAAGGTTTGCCATCGCTTTCCTCCCAAGGAGCAGGCGTCTTTTAATTTCATGGCTGCAGTCACCATCTGCAGTCATCTTGGATCCCAGGAACATGAAGTCTGTCACTGCTTCCATGACTTCCCCTTCTATTTGCCAAGGAGTGATGGGTCTGGATGCCACAATCTTAGTTTTTTTGATGTTGAGTTTCAAGCCAACTTTTGCGCTCTCCTCTTTCACCCTAGCATGAGGCTCTTGAGGTCCTCTTCACTTTCTGCCATTAGAGTGGTATTGTCTGTATATCTGAGATTGTTGTTTTCCCCAGCAATCTTAATGCCAGTTTATGATTCATCCAGGCTGGCGTTCTGCATATAAATTAAATGAGCAGGGTTTCTGTGTCCGCCTTATGCACCATTCTTTTTCCTTCGGTGTATTTATTCTGCAGCTACAATAAGAAAAAAGTACTTTTCTAAATTGGGGTGGAATGTCATGATGTGCGGGAGGTGGTGCCCAAAGTTTTTTTTAAATTATGCAGTTGCCCTATCGCAGCTGCGCAGTAGCGTCCAGCAAGCACCTTCCATTTAAATCCTTATGGTTCAGGTTTTGCGCATGTATTTTAGTGTTAGTTTTTTGCATGAAAGGGAACAGAAAGTAATGCAGACAAATGTTGAAACTGACCAGACTTTTTCTGAAACTGACAAAGCCCCATTGTCCATATTGCTGAGCACTAGGAGACTCTCTGCTGTGTTATCGGCCACTGTGAAAAATGGGAGTGTCACAAGATTTCATAATATGGGGAACATGTTGAGTGTACAGAATGCATGGTAGAACCCACTGACACTGGCATTGCAAGCTGTGATCATTGGCAATGTGTGTATGTGCGAACCTGTGCAAAGTCAGCTGCAACTCCATCATGCTTTGCACAGGGCTGCAATTTGTATGGGGGAAGAGTCCTCTGGCAGAAGCTCTGGAGAGCTTTTTGTGCCACTAAATTCTATAATTTGATCCTTCATACTGGTCGTGATCTTGGCAGTTTTTAAAAGCCTGTCCCGTGTGGATTGCACTCTTCTTCCAAATGGATCAATCCCAAGCAATTCTCAAGTTCGGTGGTATGCAGAAGGTTCATGTGGCTCAGCTGCCATTTTAAGGTTATGCTTTCAGAGACTGCCAAAATGGTCCCCCCCTCCAACTTTGTTCACTAAAGCATTAAAGGGGAAAATGTTTACAAAGCTTTAGGCTTCCCATCCCAGTCTCTTTCTCTCTCTCTTTGCATCTCATGTCAATTTCATTTCACACTGAGCATTCCCCCCTTTATTTTGTTTGCATGCAACACTGAAATCCTTTTTTTTTTTGCACTGGGGATGCTGCCGTTTGCTTCCTCTCTGATCCACCTTTCAAGTAAATACTAGCAGAGAACTAAACTTTGCACAGCTCTTTTTAAACTCCCACCCCATCATTTCACATTTTTTATTCAGTGATTCAAGAGTAGTGATAGTCTCATATTGCCTGATGCAAGCTGCTTGTAAAAAAAAGGGTGTGTGTGGAGTTTATACACTGATGAAGGAAGGAGGATGATGGAAGGTGCAGAGAGAATGGAACAACTTTGATACAGGCAGGGAGTAGCCTTTGAGGGTGGCAAAAGGGCAGGGGGAAAGGCCAAGAGAATCTGTATACTTTCGAATGACCTTCGGCTTGAAAGTGAAACAAGGGAAAAATTGGCACAAAAGCACTCTCAGAAAACCCTGGGAAACAATGACCAGAAAGCGAACTGAGAGCTGAAGGGAGGAAAACCCGAAGGACATGCATGGTGAAAACAAGGGAAAACACCTGTGCATAATAATAGGCCTTTGTCAGTTCATTTGAGGAGGAGGTCTCTGGAGCAGAAGCCTGCCACTTGCAATATGCTAAGTTTGGTAACTAGTGTTAAGCAGCAAACTGATTGTATTTACTTTGGACTTAGTCCAGGTCATAGATTTTTTTCCTCATTAGAGGTGACAGATCATCATAAGTAGTATTAACACCAAAGAACACCAGGTTGCAAACTGTCATCCTGTTTTTCTCTTGTGCATATTTGGACTCCATACAGGAGTCTAATTTTCTGCTATCTATTGGATTGCATTGTCTTTTATTCCACTCTTTATTTTAAAGAAGTTTCCTTTGTGCCTATAAACCTGCTAACGACTTCACACATCTGACAAAGGGGCTCCAGTCTATGAAAGCCTGTATCACAATATATCTGCTAGCTAGAATCTGCTAGGATTCTCGAGCCTGGCAATCTAAACTTGTGCTTGGGTGACAATTTAGAAGCTAATACTATAAAACTTGCCCTTTGGGTCTCTATTCAGTCAATCCTAGGGTTACCATATTTTGAAAAGCAAAAAAGAGGACACATTCCCCTACTGACTACTTCAAACAAGTGATCACTATGACAAATCTCATTTTAAATACCCCTATTTAAGCTGTGATAGTTGCTAACTAGAAATATTCCTAACCTTCCAACCCCAAGAGGACATTTCCATCAGTTTTTTTAAGAGCCCAAAAGAAGATGGACACCAAAAAAGAGGACATGTCCTCTGAAAAGAGGCAATCTGATAACCCTAGTCAATCTTGAAGTACACCTGTATTAATCTCATTTAAAGTCTAGTATTTGCTAACAACCTGCATGAAATATTCACAGAAGCGCCAGTTCCAAGTGCCAAATTTTATTTGTGATCAAATAATTTCAAGAGTAAAACTTGTAAAGAAGATAGAAGAGTAAAAACAAAAGAGGTTTAATTTGCAGTTCCATGAAAAGGCACATTTACAGAAAATTAGTTTTATTAGCCATGCTGATCATATTTCAGTACTGCTTTGAACAAGTCCCACTACCATATAAAAAAGTAACTATTCCAAGTTTCAAATTAGACAGGATTGAAATACAGAATCTGAAATTAAATCTTTATAGTCTTCATGAATTCTTAAACAAACAGAAAAAAACAGCTTTACATTAATTGCCATTTTCTCTTGGATCAGTTGTTACAGTACAGAATACAATTCCCTGTATCCAGAAGTCACCCCATCTCTCAATTCTGCTCAGCATATAAACGTTGACACAGTTGATTTTGTAACAAACTGGTAAAGTGGCTGCAATAAGAAATTAGGAAATACCACCTACATTGACTGTCTTCTGAAAACTACTATTGTGTTCCAAAATGCAATATATCAGAACTTACTATATAACAGACTGTAATATTAAGAAGTTCACATGTTCTGACATTTTTATAACCGGATCCTGCTCTGTATAGTTCTTCTTTTGTGGAGACTAAACATTAAAACACTCACATTTTATAACAGCCCTAAATATTCGAAGTCAATGACAAAACTCTCATATTTCAATGGCTCTCTTAGGTTTCTGGCATTTGCTCTAAATATATTTTTAAAATCACAGGCTGCCTTTAGTTATCATGAACAAGCTACAGTTTGTTCACTGCAAGGAAAAAACCCTGTTCTATTTATCTGGCTTAGAAATGTTCTTCCCCTTGCCCTCACACATGGACTGCTGATAGATGACTTTCTGGTTTAGGAAAACTCTGATGAAACCACAGTTTGTGGTGGTGTCTAACTGGGAAACTTCAACAAAATGAAGTTTCGTTCTAGTCTACAAACTGGGATTCTACACAAAGATTAAATCATATTTCAGAGTCACTTTTCGTGGCCCAGAAAGCCTGAATTTGTTTAATTGCCAGAATTCAGACTTCACTGCAAAACCTGGTTAGAGAACAGTTCTAAACCATGTAAACTTCAGTGTCAGCTCTGTGCAAAACTGAAAGGAGTGCATAAGCCTGAAAATAAACCACGTCATGAATAAAATCCATGCTATGAATAAAATCCAGTTTATTCATGGCAGTCAAATACAACCTCATTGATTGCCATGATTGTTCCCAAAGAAACGTGTTTATGACTGCAGGCTTAAGTCAGTGGCCTTTGTGATACTATAAATACTAAAAAAAGTCTACAATGCCAAGCTTTGCAGCACAGTTCTAGCTGTCCAATAGAGTTATCTCAGGAAGTTTATCTTCACCAAAACGGTCTTTCAGAAGAAAAGAAAGAATCTCTTCAAGTCTTGCAACCTAGGGGAGGACAAAGAATTCTAGCAATTATAATGGTATTTTATCAGCAGTTTTTCACGCATTCCACTACAGAGAAGTCACACATGGTGGTGGCCAAATTCACATTATATTTTGTTTCATCACTGTACACAACTTCCCTTTTGTGCAAAAACTAAATGCCGCTAAAGAGGTACAAACTCTTCTAGAGTCCCAGACAGAAACCTCATGGTTTCCCTTTCTATTAACCATCTCTGTTCCATTTTGGAGGTTTACTTCTTTAAGCTAAGTTTACATCACCCATTCGTTACAGACATCATGCTAATTTTTTAATCAATGGCCTGGCCCAACCCAACTACTTTCCAGATAGTACTAACTATTTCCCGATTAGTTGATGAACACATAGAGTAAGAACAGGTTGCTTACTGGTAACTGGTGTTATGAGAGTAGTTATTTGTTCAGGCATATTATTGGGTTCCACACATCAGTGAACTGTTCAGAACCTTCTACATCTAAGCTAAAAATATTATAATGGCTTCACCCACTTTGAGGCAGAGTGCCACTGTACATACCTCAATAGGCAGATCCATCTCTTCCTACTTAGTAAACCCTAGAACACAGTAGTCCAAAGATACACCTGTTGCAAGCAATGAAGGCATCTTATATGCATCACTCTCACACACACAACAGGAAATATGAAGGTACCTGTGAACCCATTCCTCCATGTTGGTTTGTGTAATATATTGTAGACATATTGTTTGAGCCAAATGGACTCACTGGTAAAGTCCAGAGAGCTTTGATATCGGCTAGGAATCCCAGTGGAGAGATGGAAGCTTCCAATTCTCAGGGAAAAACCAGTCCCTTTACAGTGGACCCTCCACCTCACAGAAAGGCATAGGTCTATGAATTTCCTGGGGTTACCAAAGCTGTCAATGTCCCTAAGGTCTGACATGGTACAAAGGCTGTCTAGTGGTAAAGTCTAAGTTGGCAAAATAGTGAGAATAACAGCCTCTGGAGCTCTGACAGGAAGGATCACCTCAACAGCCTCTTTGTTAAGAAGAGCATAGAATTTTGAAAACAGAGTTGGGCTTGGATGTGTGATCTTGAGGAAGCCTGAGAAGGGAAGCAAAATGAACCAAATGCCGTAGCTTACAAGTATTGATAGTGAAAGCCCACCTGTCCCGGGTCGTGCACTCTCAGGGTGGAAGTAATTGACATATTAACCATGGGGGAACAAGGAAAGGATTGATGGGAAAGTCAAAGGCTACACTTTAAGGTTAGGGGGGATTCAGAATGTTGCAAAGTGAACCTGCTCTTAGAACAGCTCAACAAAAACCTTGCAGGGGAAGGGAATATGACATTTCATCCCACCCACACTTCCACTCCTCACTGCATTCTCTGTTTCTCCTCCCTCGTTGCTGCTTTCCTGCTCTTTCTTGACAGCCAAAGTGCACAGGACAGAGTGCACAAGACAGAGTGAAAAATGTGTCCTGAGTGCTCTGTGCTACAGGCTGTCACTGATGTAGGTCAGCTGATGGGGTTGTGGTGAAGAAGGAAAGCCCCTCAGACCTAGAT